TAAAGTCAAGAACCAAGGAAGACCAGTCCCTTAACTCTATAACGTCTGCTCCTGTAGGAGTCACAAGTCAAGAACCCAGCATGACCAGTCCCTTAACCCTCTATAATGACTGCTACTGTAGGAGTAAAGTCAAGAACCAAGGAAGACCAGTCCCTTAACTCTATAACGTCTGCTCCTGTAGGAGTCACAAGTCAAGAACCCAGCATGACCAGTCCCTTAACCCTCTATAATGACTGCTACTGTACTAGTTTTTGTGATGTATTTCGGATAAGCCTACTAAAATGATGTCTGTGCAAGATGGCGTTCTCGAACGTCAATTTCATTGGTTAATAAACGATTCTTGGGTTATTACACTAATCATTGTCAATAAAAAAAAAAAAAAAAAAAAAAAATCACAGTATTAGAAGATTTATATTCAGTTTTCGAAACTTCAAGAATCATTCGTCATTTTCTACAGATCACTGGATGGTCATAAATAAACAGCCTTGATTTTAAAGACCGTTCTTCTTTTAACTTTCAACATCAACTTTGTTGTTAGATTCTTTAGGCTTTTGCCGACACACAAGTGATACATTTATGATTTATGACTGGTATTAATTTTCACTGTTAGTTTTAGTAAGAGTACGAATGGACAAAAGGGAAATTACACTTGTACAATGACGAACAAGGCGAAGAAAAAATATTTATTTATTTCAATACAACACATACTATTATTTCTGCCCTTTAAACCTATTGGCCATTATGGTAATGACAGAACAGCCGATTCATTGTGTTATGGTAATTATTATGGCTACAATACATCCTCGAATTTTTTGGAAGACAGTTCATTTGGTCATTGTTGAAGTGCAGAGAAATCCTCGGGATCATCAAAAGACAACTTCGCAAAAAAAAAGAAACTAAAAAAAGAAACGTACTAATTAGCCTAACAATTCTTTTCCAAAACCCGGGCAAATCCGAGTCCAACATTGGATTTTTTCTTGTATGGTAAGAAAAACAATCAATACAGGCATTCAACTAATAATATTTGAAACTTTTGGGAATGGAAGAGTAGCGTTTTTAATATTTACGACTCTGGATAAAACCGAGCGAGATATTCGTCTTCCTGGGTATTGGTTTCATAACTAGTGCTTTCCCGCTG